AACAACAGCTCAGGGTGAAGGCCAGTGAGTTCCCCAAAGCCTAACACATATGGTCAGCGGATTAAGGCCTGACGCGGATGTATTGCAATTGAATAACTGCTGTAGCTGCTTCCTGCAGTCTCCATGTGTCAACTATACCGGGGGGGTCTGCTTTCAATGGCTGACATGCGATTGGTCACCCTGTGAGTCAGTGAGGGCAGATTAAGCGTAGCATGCTCGAGCTGCTGATTGGGGTCCTCCTGTTAGGCATGGTCTTCGTGAGCACCTGTTGATACACCTGGGTGATAGCTCCCAAATGTCCCGGCTGTATAAAACTGCCAGAGCCGCAAGGCTGCATCTCCTCGTACAGTTTCATGGGAACATGTAATGCTCAGTATGCTGCAGGGATGGCCCAGTCCATCTACGCCCATCTTGAAACCAAATGGGCGTGTGTCAAAACACCAGTATATGCAAGTCCCCCCAACATATCATGGGCGCGCCTTAAACTGCGTTTAGACCATCCGTGCGGCATGTAAAGCCCAAGTGCCTGCGAAAAGGCTGGGATTGCGATGGACAGCTGCTCCTGCGCTGGAGTTGCCAAGCTGATGGGTTTTGGTGACATGGTAGTTGTTTGTCGGGACCCACAAAGCATGAGCCAAAGCTGAGCTTAAAACCCTCAAACCTCAAGCTTCGGGCCTCAGGGCTACAGCAGGACATAGGAGCTTGAAAGGAGAACAATTGGCTGACTGAATGGGCTCTCGTTAGCAGAAATATCTCTGATCCAGTTCTCAAAATCCTCAGGCCCAGCTCGATCCCTGAACCCCAAACATAACACCCCAACACCCAAATTCCCCAGCTTAAGCTCTGCATGCCAAGCAAAGAGTCTCCCAAAACATTTGGTACTGTGGAATGGGGTTGCGAGCACCCTGTTGACTTGAAACTGTTGCATTGAGAGTCAGGAACTGCATAAGCGTTGCACATCTCAGCGCTCCACACGCAAGCTTTCGTCAGGTGGTCCAGAAATGCTCATTACATTCTGGAAAACATAATGATCCTTTGCTTACGCACAGCTCGGAACTGCTCTGGGAAATTCTCGACCACCTTCAGGCGCGTGCACACCGTTTTAAGTCGTCCGGCTTGACCCGAACAATCACGTTCCCGCCAAAACAATTTTGAATCAACTCTAAATCCTACCCTTGCTACCCTGGATCCTGAAGCTTTCTAGACTGTAGCTTAACTCTGAGCGCAACGACTTTAAGTCTAAACATAAGCCCCTAACTTTCGCCAAAAACAAAAGCGCCATAAAGCCCCCGCCCCCAACTCTGACTGCCCAAACTCTGAAATGCGCAGCCCTTTCCTGATAGGCGTCCATAAATCTGGTGGCATGCTTGGAGCTAAGCTGCGCCAAGGAGTTCCTGATGCATGGGGTTGAAGGGCTATTTAGGGGTCTGGTGTTTAGGTGAGCAGGGTTGAAGGTTCATGCGGCTAAGGCGTTAATAATAAAAGTCTGAGAGAAACATGTAGGCATGAGGGCTGTTGATGGGGTGCTGCTGAGGGTCTGACATTTACATCCAAATGGAAGGTGTCCCTCCTGATTCCGAGACACTCCTATCACACCCGAGTGCTTTGAGCAAGCCTGGTTGAGCGATGTGCAAAACACATCCAAATTCATCTCCAGAGCCATGAAATCAAAGCCTTTTCTATGGTCCGAGAAGGAGCTGAAAGCCACAACTGTTTGTCATTGCCCTCACTCAGCCATGAAGCCCAAAGAAAGCCGGGACTTCAGGGCAAACCCCAAATCCGAAGCTAAAAGTCAATCATCCCGCGAACCCTGAACCTACAGCCTTGCAGCAACCCATATCCCGAAGCCGTAACCACCAACGAAATTCCCTCACACGGGTCCCGATCTGCACCAGCATACGCGCAGTGAACGGCGCTGGAGCACGGGGCTTGCTTGGCGGTGGAGGCGCCTTGTGTACAAGTGAGAGGTTTGCAGGGCCTGTGCTGCATCTTGCTGCCAGCTCCTGCGAGAGTCTAGCAGGCTTCGTTGTGGGGGCGATGTGGGTAAGAAAATTCAAATCTAGGAATACCTCTTCCGCAATATCAACCAATATCTTCCCTCCACAAGCCCATTTGCGAATATGGGGAAAGTCCTCAATCGCCTAGGACGTGGGTGTGAACGTGGGTGAAAGGACAACGTGGCTTCGTAAGCTGCTCTCAAACTGTTCATCCTACGCGACACTGCAAGGAAATCTACAACCCTATCTTCACTTATTCCCTCACCTCTGAAGCCTATGGCATTTGAAGCCTACCTCTGCAATGATACTCTACAATACCAAAGGGCCTTGATCTGGGCAGCATCTGCGGCAACCACCCTGTCAGGCACAGAACGAGGGAGGAATCAGACTCGAGGCGGCTTCAGCAACCACTACGATGATGACGACTACTACTTACTAATACTCCTACGAATTACCACTTACCACTTCCAGCACCAGTTATTATTGTTCAGACACCGGTAAGTGTAGCGTCTGCATGATTTCAATCCCACTTCAGATGCAACGTGTCCAACGATCTTCGGGGATCCTGAAGATGGAAAACTGACCCCAAATACCGGGACTCGTATCTTCATGAGAACCCTGCTCAATCATGCACACGCATACTCAAGTGGATATCCTCCAAACTGACTCCAAGCACCGGGATTCTTGTTAGCATCCACACGGATACGCAAACGCACATCCTTCCAAGTTCGACGTCTCGAGTGACGATCATGGATCGTTTACTGAAGCAGGACGAAGCGCATAGGCCGACTAGGAAACCAGGATAACAATGTCTGTCTCTTTTCAACCTTGAAATGGGATATGGAACCCCTCAACCCCTGTACAAACAGGATCTTGTGAGTGTGGGTTCTCATGTTAGCCGTTGCGTTATGAGAAGCCCCCGCCCTGGTGTGTTAGAGGGGATACAGGATGACTTCACACCCTGAACCCTGAATCCCTGAACCCCAACACCGCACAAAACCAAACAACCCTATACCCGTGAACCCTCAAACTCTGCATCCAAAATTTCAAAGTCTAGAAAAACCCTAAACCCAAGACCCTTGTCACTGTAAGCCCAAAATCCACAAACCCTAAGTTACATGCCCTAGAATATAAACTCTATCTCCCCAAACGGTACCCCAGGATCCCATAAACTTAAGCTAAGCCCTCCCGTCCCTCTCAGCACCGCCTTCCCGGCGGCCGGCGAGGTGGTTTCACCGTACTTCGAGATGCACGGATCAAATTCATGACCTCAGAAGTACTGAAAAGTCCTAATGAATTACCTATATCCCCTTGAGGCCTTCGTGACTATTTAGGCCCCTATAGTGCTCTGGTTCAGGTTTAGGATTAATTGGGATGTAAGCAATGCAGGAATGAAACAAAGACCGGAAACTGCAGGATTCCTTCAGGTTTAGAGTTCGGGATGGCGGGACATAGGTTAACACTGGAGAGGAGTGGGCTCTGGGGCTAGCATTTGGCGCATAGGGCTTAAAGTTTATGTCCTATAATTAAGCCCCCCCCTAACCCTTCCTGGAAGTGAGAACTACTTAATACTTAGAATGTCCATGGATAGCTACAGGTGGGCTGGCAAGTCCCATCGCTTGCGCCGTGGACTCAACCCAAGATTTAGATGTATTGCTGCACCTGCTTTTTCTAATCGACCTTCTGCACACATGTACTTACTAGTCAGGATTAACGGCAACAGTCTAGTTTCGGTGAGGGGCTTCTTCGATTTTGAGAGGTCTTCCAGAGGGTAGATAGAGCAAAGGAGGTACGTGTGCAGTTCCTTTTGTTGTTAGCATAGCGGAGGGCACTATTGCCAGGTAGGCGCATCGCAGAAACCCAATGACCAAACTAGAGAAGACGGAAGAACCTAAAGAAAAATAACCCCTAGGCTCCCGCCTGCAAGAGAAGCCTGCGAGGTGTTCCCCTTCCTGGAGGAGAACTTAAGGGTTTTCAAAGATTAGGAGTCCTTTTCCGGACCCAGACTAAGGATCACAGTAATAGCATATTCCGCTCCATATGCAGACTCCCTATTTATGGATACCCCTCACCTTCAGGCCGGGAGAGTGCTTCGGTCGAAGGAACCACAAAAAACGGGAAGCGCGAAGGCGTGAAAAGAAGGATTCAGCTTTTGAGAGGGTCTGGGAGGACCTCCAAAACGCAGCTACATGAATAGCGCCTGTCTAGTGCTCCTCCAAAATATCCTGTGCATGATGAGATGAGAACCTAAATGCTGCAAGCCCCCCTCCTCACCATTCCATGTAATTATTTTGGGGCAGGACCCTCTACATAAGCCACGTCGGGAGTGTCACTCAAACTGCGCATCCCGCATCCAACGACCGAGCCCATGACCTCCATTGAGAATAGCTCGAGGTACGTCTCCTGAAGCCCAAACTTATTAAAGAAGTGCAGGCGCAGGTTGATACTTGACATGGCCCTGTGGAGATCCAAATTGCCAAGAGCAGGCACGATTCTTGGACTCTAGCACCCAAAGTAGGTATTACTTCTAGACTTAGGTCCCCGGGTGGTATTTCAGCACTTCAAAAACCGCAGAACGGGTCAGATGCTGTGCGCAAAGATCGAGTTAGGGCATGCCTACAATACTATGAATCTTGCAAAAGCCTTAGTACCTTGCACGCCCGGAATTTTAGCAGTGTAGCACAGTAAACTAAGGGTCATGCGGGACTTTAGGAAAGCACAGTCTCTCCATACCAGGGATCAATGCCCCGCCGCCATCTCACACCAGACACCCAAACGTCTCCCGAAATTCCACATTTGCAGAAGCAACGTAATCCTTTTGTTGATGCAAAACATTGGCAATAATATTTACAGAGCGCACGCAGTGACTATGTGGAGAGCAGCTTTTCTTGAAATGTCCCTCTGCAAGACAAGAATCAACGTCCTTCATGAATCTTGGTCTTCTGCCGAAAGGGGGACTCGTGCTTGTGGGCACTTACTTTTCAAGCGGGAAGGGAGCGCTGCCTCGTTCAACCGGAGCTTTCGGAGGATGCTGAGACACTTCGTCAGCATCTGCGGCGTGATGCCCCGAATCTGCGCACAGAAACAGTTTTGTCTGAGCTAAGGTTCCAGGTGGCTGACAGTCCGGGCGTTTATCTTACACAGTACCGCCCTGATCCTCAACATGTCAAGGTTCAAAACAGCACTTTCGAATCCGTCCAGGCACATGCGTGAAGACTGGGCGGGTGACAAAGCTTGATGTATGTACTCCCTCCCGTTGTAGTAACAAGTCTACAGGACAAGACCGGTGCTGGTTCCCATCAAGTACACCCCTTGCCCAGGATCAATAGCCTACTGCCCCTGAAGACAGACCCAATAGCCTTTGCAGAGTAGAAATCTTGGCAAGATGCTGATACCACCCGCACCTGTACAGGAATTTCTCCAAGAATGTGGAGGTAGAAGTCGTGGTCCTGACAAATAGTCCACAAGGGTTGCCAGGGATTTACGGTTGGCATTTTTTGTTTGAGAGCAGGCGATCAAGCTTTCGAGTTTTGGAAACGGTCACCGCAACCCTCCCCAGGTTGTTTAGCACGCAAACGAGCGCGCTTCTGCGTAAAAGGCTTGCCGCGTCCGCGTTCCAAAGCACGCCATGCCAGAACGGGGCCGAACTTTGCTTTACGAGAGTTTAAGAAGCTTGGTTTCTGAATGTTTCTAGAGAAAGAACGTAAGAGACCTCGAGATTGTCCGACCAGGGCAGGAATGGCAGAGAAGACCCTGAAGTGGAAAAAGCTGCTGCAACTGGAAGTTCTTGCAAGTATAGTACCCCCCCCCTGTACACCCAAGCGATTGGAAGCCTATACAAAGAGCCTGAGAGAAAAGCGCATATATATCAGTTTCCTTCCCTGCCCCTTGGCGCATAGTCAGATCCTAATGGGCCCGCATCTGTTCCAACTCAAGCATCCTCCTTAATTGCGCCACCGGCCTCGTAGCGAACCGAACAGAAAAGGCCCATAGTTCGTATGAGCTGCTCCTTGCTGCAAGTTGGTCTCCGAGAGCGTTGAGACTACGGAATTGACGGGTTGGGGTCGCGGGGGGCAAGATGCTTCCAATGATGCTTGCATAGGGTCATTCTTGAAGGCTTCGAGGAGTGCAAACCGCATGCAACCTCCTAGTCGTACTTCTTAGCAATCACGCCGTGACTGGGAATGATTCCAGGTTTCACAAGGTAGCCTCAGGCCCTCCCAATCCGAAACGCCCCAGAATCTCCCTGTGGGCTATACATGGTAAACCATATAGGGATCGAGCCCCAGCAAAAAACCAGACACCTACCTCTCATAATTTCATGCTCTTCCTATCTAGACTCCTTTGCCCTGCATGTTGTTGAGCTCGCGCTGTACGGTGATGCGCTGAGTGTCTGAGGGGTCCAACGTGGCCTATCTTACAAGGGACTCCTTGGCCATACAAGAAAGCCACAGATGCTTTGCAAAGGAAGTGCGTTTAGAGTTCAAGAGAATCGTCTTCAACTTTTGCCAAGCCTCGGGCCGTGCTTCTTTTCAGACTAATACAGTACAATCTGAAAGGGGCCCAACGAGAAATGAGTTGCCATCATTCTGGCATTTCGCCCTACCCTCAGTTCTCACACCAGCATAGCATGCCGGGTGGTTGGTATTTTGCAATTAAACCACTATTGACTCCAGTGCAATCTAGCGTGGCAACAAAATGGAGCTGTAGGATATCGAGCGTTGTGTCTTCCCCAATGCCTCCTCAGAAATTGTCCCTGCCCCCTTTCGTCATGAATGTTGCATCATGGGTAGTAGGACAAATGCGTGTGAGTACATACATGTGGTTGATCTGAATTCCTCCTTCCTGAAATGACCATCTTCGCGAGAAAATACCTTTTTTCGTGAAGCTTTCGCGGACCCATCGCCGCGCATGTTTCTGAAAGCTTTGGTAGCTCCTCCAGCAGCCCCGAAGCTCTACATTTAGAATCGGAATGCCGCTGACTTTGCAAAACCCCAAAGCCTCAAGCCCAAAATCTTTAAGCCTAGACCTGCACATGCCAAGAGCAAGGCTCCCCAGGTCTGATTCCAAAAGCCCACATGTTCAGGCCCAGAGTGAGAAGAAGCCTACCGGGCTCGCTTTGCTAGCTATAGTACACATATATCTATTGAATTCTGCTGCAAGCTCTTGCCCACGAATTGTAAGCCTCGACTTACGCGAAACTTACATGGAACGTTTGCGAAGCTTTCGCGCAAACTTACCTTGCCGGTCTGGATTAGCGCCATGTTTTCTACCCTTAGTGCCCGAAGCGTATCTAGCGCGGATAAACTTGCAGGATTCTGTTAATCGAAGAAAGAAGGACAGAACGGGTCCAAGAAATAATGCCCTTCTCCCAAATGGGATGAGAAACCTGGCAATGAGTATCCTTCAGAGCCATAGCCTAGGAGAACTGAGAGCCTATAGACATGTATGCAAGTTGGATCACGTAACAACTTTTGGCAAGAAACAATTTCCTTTTGCGGAGTTATCGCGCAACTTTTGTCTTGCTATGCTGGTGGTCCATCCTCATAAATTATCCTACACGGACGTTTAGATTCACCCTCATTTATATATATATATGTATATATGTATGCGTGTGTACTACATGTGGAACTAGTGGTTTCAGCGAGGGGCTATTCTCAAGAAAGGCGGGGATAATCGGCCCCACCCTAAACCCGAAATCCGCCGCCGAAACCCCATAGAGTCTAAACCGCCCTTAAACCACAGACTCTAAACCTTGAGCTCTACACCTTAAACCCAGCATAGCTTGTAGCCATGTGGCCAATGTGAAGCCAGGCAGGAGTGGTTTTAATCGAGTCGCGAGATCCTGCCACTGAGAGAGAGAACGTTAAGAGTATGGATCCGGTTTCAGGTGGTGCCCTTACTGACTTATAACTGGTTGTGAGTCCCATGGAGTACTACAGGGATCCAAGTGTTGGGTTTTGGGGCCCAGGATTTAGGTCTTTGATTTGCCCCGGACAGGTAGGAGCCGGATTACAAGTTGCGCCAAGCCTTGTTGTGTACTCGTCCTAGTGGCAATCACGCTCTCTAGCTACCCAAAAGCCTCCAGGTAGTGTTGAGTATGCTGGACTTAGATTTCAACGCTGAAGGTTGCAGTCCCATAGCGCGAGTACAGAAGTGCCGGCGGCGAAATGCTCATCCGAAGACAACTTGTCATGAACGAGCCAGAAACGGACCTCAGAATCAATACCAAAACTCGCCAACAGAAAAAACAAAAAAAAAAAAACATGCCGCTGCAATACTTCGGAATCCTGTGCGTAATTTTGGGACAGCCCCCATCCCTTTGGCAACTCCATCCTTCTCCATGGTCTTAACTACTGCGTCTAGGCCTCTAGGCGAGACAAGGAAAATAATGGTTTATCATCTAAATTTCTTCCATACATCGCGCGTAGCACAATGTGATCACGATTAAGCCAGAAAGCCTCCCTCCTGTTCACATCGCTCTTCCTTCAAACAAGTTTAACAATATCCAGAACAGTGCTTGCACTTGGCACTGATACAGGCGGCGGAGAGAACAAGGCTCACTACAAAACTCCCAAGCAGCGCCTGAAAACATCATCGGGTGGCTAACCAATTAACAGCTTTAGGATGCAAGGCAACATGCAAAAGACGCAGCACACCAACGCACCATTCCCCCTCCCAGTATCTAAGCCACAGGTATTCCTGCAAATTTCCCCAACTGGCACTGCTACGAGGTATGAAAGCTACTCAAGAAGATCCCCAAACCCTGCAGCTATTTAGTACGAATGAAAATATCGTTGTTGGGAGCATTATAACAAAGGGATAGCCATGGGGATCCATTTCTTCAGTCCCCACTGACAGCACGCAAGCTTCACGCCCACGGGAATGCCCGAAAGTCAGGAGAACTCGAGGGAGCTTTTTGGTATTTCTCGGAACATGGGTCCTTTTTGCATATGCGAAAATTCTTCCACCATGATTGTAGGCATGCCGCAAGCAATTTAGGGATCCAAATAGCCCAATGTAGGCAATACTTACGGAGTCAAGGGCCCAAGGAAAGTATCGTCTGTAGACTTGGAGCAGCAGTTGCAGTGAGCCTTGAAATTTGAGAAGTTCCCATATTCAGGCTTTCAAGACACCTGTCATCGTGGCGGCTTACCGGAAGTGAGGCGGAAAAAGCTGGCCATGCGAATCAGCATGCATTGCTGAAATCTGCGCTATAGGGTTAAGAGTGTGTACCGGTTAGCAACACTAGCCAACATGAATCATAGCCGTCATGAAGAGACCTATATATCAAAGCCGACGGCCGAAACCACTCAAAGCACCTCGTTTTGCGAGAATCCAAAACCCTGGAACTCAAGAATCCATCGCGTCCGTTGCGATGACGTACGCAGGTTCTCTAGCCCCGTGATCATCCAAAACCCCAGCGTGCCTTCATCTCCACTGCCGGGACGAACTCGCCCGCCTGGCAGGCTTTGGGGGCTTAAGGAGGAAGAGGTCGTTGAGAGCTTTCGGGGTTCATGCATGGTTTGCGGTGAAACCTTAGGAGTTCAGATGCGCTTGCATTCTGGGAGCTGGGGACTTCGACATGCAGCGGCCTGCACCGAGTCAAGTAAGGGCCATACACTCCGCCATGACAGTCCCTTTTTTAGAGGCGTAGGAGAGTAAGGCCTACCAGCAGGTTGTGAAGCGGATTGTTTTCCGTTGCAGGCATGTGCTGGATGCTTGTCCGTAGTAGAGTGCAAGTCTCAGGATGCTGCGAAGATCCGAATCCCATGTTGTCAAGACCGTATAGTCACATTTTCTGGAAGGACTGTTTCCCGCGTCACTGTCCTCCCTACGCCGACAGCACCTGCTGAAACCATAACTAGTCTGTCGCCAACCGTACGCTCACCAGTTTATAGGACCAGGCCACACTGGACATTTTGAAAAGGGCGCCAGACATTCCCAAACAGCAAGGGCTAGAGGTGCTCAGAATTATCATGCTATACTTTTCTTAAGCAACATAAGCCTCACCACCCAAACGACTTCCTCATGAACCCAGTGAGCAACCAGTTCGGAGCCCTTGAAAGCCTCTCCCGGAATCCTCGTGGAAGCCTGTGGGAGGGCTATTCAGAGTCTCAAGAACTACTCATGAAGTAGTTGCCATTGAGTTTGGGTGCGTATATATGCGCAGGTCCGCCCAAAGCAAACCTGCACAAGATGCTCGGCGAGTTGTTGCTGTCCCTTACATCCCTCGTGCTGTAAGTACAACCTTTGGGGTAAGACATCTGAGCATTTATCTTGCTGGGGACCATAAGGATGCCAAGGGGCTACGAAAAGAACAAGTTGTTGAGGACCTCTTACGACATCCGAGGCAACCAGATATTGTACTTCAAGCTTATCTCTAGAACAAATGATCTAGAGACTGCTTTCCCAAAAGTGGCCACGTAGTTGGGCACCCACTAGTGTCCCTAGATTGCACGCAAACCTTGAAGCGCTTCTTGGCGGCTTCGAGCTTCCCGAAAAGCTCTGCCTGCAATAGGTGAGTTTATAGTGTTCAGGGCCTTGAGCCATGATCTGCCTCATGAGGCACTACAGGTATCATGCCTCTGCTACAAGACAGTAGCAGTAGGTCCAGGCAGGGTGCATTGTTCCGAGCTTGATGTCAAGGGAGTTCGCCAGGGTGCATACGAGTACTAATTCTGCTATAAGTGTATTCAGGAGATAACGTCTCAACTTCATCGCATAGCAATAACATGCGTGAAGGGACTAGTGATGAGTAGTTTCATGAGATATCTGTGGAGCAAGTCCAAGAAAGGGCCTCAAACGCATCTATGTTTCTTCGCAGCTATCTCCTCTGAAGACTTCTCACAAACTGGGGGGACTTGCGACAGCAGAAACATGCCCTGGCGTTCAGTAACATACTCATTCACAAGACCACAACCTCATACATCTTCAAACCTCCAATGGAGGCAGGTTGCCTCCCTGGCAGCGGGTGCATTCTTGCTACTTTCCATCGCCTGGCGGCGGACTCACAGCACGGAGCATGATGAGCACCAGATGAGGAGGTGGCCAGCACTTGCACTAGCCATGGCCATAACTAGAGCAGAAATGGGTAGCTACCACTGCCGCTGCTACTGCAAGAGGACAACAACGTTGTGTGAAGGCTGAGGATGTGAGGTTTGAGGCATGGGTGCAAGGCAAACTAGCAGACATTTACCGCCTGGCTCCAAAAGTGCCTGGAACTCTTACACAGCTTCAGTCGGTCAGGAAGACTGCTCTCGATCCTAGATGATCTTCAACCTGAAGGCTCCAGCATTCACGGGCCACCGCCTGGGAAACGAAATCATCAGAATACACGAACCGGGAAAAATGCAGTACAGATGCAGGATGGGTAGCACAGGAAGAGCCAGGGCTGAGGAGCTCAAGACCTGACCCCAAACCCCCGCCCAAGGGCTCATTGCTCATGGTACTCCGCACGCTCCGCACCCCGGACACCTCATAACACCACTGGAATTTCATATTAAACGATGCCTACTATGGACCCTAAATTACATATGCGGGGCTTTTTAGATCGCTAGGGATACCTTTAACCTTGAATTGTCCAGAAAGTTGTACCTCCTGGAGGGACATCTGCGGCGGGCTCGGACGCAGAGTCGGTCGGCCACCTCCCGAGAATCCAAAGCTATCAAGGTGCAAGTAGCTGTAATACTCGTACTCTGAGTCATACACTTCTCAAAACAAAGTCACAAAGCAATGTGAGTACGACAACAAAGCCTTCAAGCTTAGGAAATTGCTTAGCAGCTTCAGGCAACTGGCCAGGCGTAGGACTGACCCGCTATGTGTAGGATGCAAGATACCCTAGGCACAGGAACCTGCGAAACACCAAGGGGTTGTACAGACTCACGCGCATTCATATTTTGCCTTAAGATGCTGCTTGAAACTCAGCGTACATGGATCTCATAAAGCATATGACACTAATATGTTACTCAACATCATTCAAAATCGCCCCTAGCAGCGCGCTTCTGATTCTACACCTGGCGAAGGGCTTTGGCTTTTTGGTTTGAGGGCTTCACAGAACCTGGTTGTCCTCAGGACCCATGCATTTCTCGGCGCTAGAGTGAGATATGGCCCCCTAAAATGTATGTGGGCATATGCCGAGAAACTCGCGCTTGTTAGGCTCAATTCGAGCCTTCCTCCAGCTTCTCTCGGGCGTGGATGTCGTCTTCGAGCCACGAGTCGATGGCTCGGATCTGCTCTCCTCAGCTAAATTGAAAAGGCGGAGCTATGTGGGGACACAAGCACGAATGCCTTTCTCTTGACTCCTTAACAAGGATAACAGATTGCCTTAGGGTGGCGGCAGTTGACAAACAAATACTTCAAAACCAACAAGTCAGGCTCAAGACTGTGTGATCCTGGCAAGTGGCTGAGAGCGCTCCGATCGGGTACCTGAACATCCTGCGACTCGAGCTTCGGCACACGGTTGAAGGGTGTAGCACTGTTCAAAGGTTTAGGGTGTAGTCTGTACGCTTTCCAGCACTTTTGGTGAACCCTGCGCAAGGCCCTCAGCTGAAATCTGTCCACCCTCCAGCATGATCCTTCAAACCTTCAATGATATGGCAAAAGAAAGGGGAGTGACACCTGAGCCTGTAAAGTTAATCAGCCTATCATGAAGCGCAACCAGAGTCCCGACCCGCAGGTGCATGCCCCTCTGATAAGACAAGACAAAGAGCGCAAGCCTCTGGATACAACGCTCCAAGGAAAAACATCGGCAGTTGCTTCGACTTAGGGTCAGCCTCATGTCTGCTTCTACCCCCAATACCTTGGCTCTGCGGTGTGAGAGGCCCCTGATCTGAAGGACCCGCAGCCTCTGCACGTCGAGCGCGCGGAGGCTGAGGCGGCGGAGGTTGAGGCGGTGTAGGTTGCGGCCGCCTGTCATGGGCAGGGCGATTTCGTAGGTTCAGCATGCGCTTGCACTTTTGTGACTGCCTCTTGCTTTCCTGGCCGTGGGACTAGGGAATTCGAGAATCTAGAGGGCTGAAGTGAAAGGCTCAGGTGGCAGACGCTCAAAATTGGTGAGGGTTTTGTCAACTTAGGGCTGCAGCACTTGCTAGCATCAGTGAAATATGTGCCGCAAGACTGGTCAGCGTGGTCGTTTCATTCAGCCTTTCGCCAGCAGGTACTGGACGCAACTGCACGCTAACCCTTTTGACCCGAAACTGTACACCGAAAGTATAAAAGCGGCTTCTCCGATTCCCTGGGCCCATGGCTGAAATCTACCGGTTTCAATACTGGGGGGCCTTCAGAGTTGCCCTGTTTCCTTGTGTGTGCGGGGTGGTGGGTACAGGTATCCACAGGATTCAGATCTTGAATGCCGTGATGGGTTGTGGCTAAGGATTTGCACTGGGTTCATGAAAAGTGCTTTTGGAGAGGGGCCCGAGGTGCATGTTGTATTGACCAACTGAGATCATACTCGTTCAGGTATTGAACACGTCCTTTTGAGGTGAGGCAAACTTGTTTTGTTGGCCAGCATTCGTGTGGGCTGTCAAAGAATTGGCACCTGACCCAGTCTTACGGATGATGGCCAAAGTACCTGCACCCTGGCAGATTGCGGAAGTTCACTTAACATGAAACAAACTTTGCCCACCTGCCAAATTCTACCCAGAATAGCTTCCACACGTGGATTTTGGATCATCTCCTTCCCATCGCCAGTTTCAAGCATGCAGGCGCGCCATGAAGCTTGGGCGTAGAACTCCTTGGAGATGTCCTCACGAGGGAAGGAAAAGTTTGCTCAAATTTAACCGTGTAATAATGACCTCATCACAGCAATGCGAGAAATCCTCATCCTATCATGCTGCTGTGTCTAAAAAACACGGTCCTCTTTGTGAAAGGACCGTATTACCGTTCATTTTAATAAGGACGGCCCAGAGAAGAGAGCTACAGCTGATCGAATATAGTTTCAGTACGGTGTTTGCTCAAGGCTCCTCTCCCCGAACTCGAACTTGCTGGTTTTACCATCCCTGCTGTGACCTTGTTTAGGTATCTCCGTAAAACTGTTTTGTAACAAGCCGAATCTAGGCCCGCGTGCTTTACCAAGACTCTTTCGCAAACCCGGTCGACGCACCCAAACATTGTTTTGTGACAGCTCGCACTTCATGAGCGCATGTGCCTCAAACCTCCACATCGGATTTCGTAAGGTTCCCTGTGGGTGGTATTCCGAATAATATCTAGGAAGCAAGGGGGGAACCCAACAATGTAGCGTCTCCCCTCTCTCTCTCTCTCTCTATATTCATGGGTTTTCAAGAGCTCCGCCATGTTGAGAAAGCCACATGAGGCCAATCAGAAAAGCTGAAGAAGGAATGTCCCAGGTCATGTGCCTCTGAGGCTACAGGTGTTGGCGCTTGCAGTTCAACAGCCATTGATGTGTTTGTTGGTAGGATGCAGGCAGCTCTCGCATTACATTGGGTCAGCCGCACGTAGCAAGGTTTGAAGGCGGTGGATGGAGCCAGCTGAAGCATGATAGCGGCCGGTTGCATCTTCAACCTAAGGAAGCCTCATTAGTGGATATCAACGATGGTCAGGAAGCCAGGTTTTTTTGCGGACAAACGAAAGCGTCCTGCTTCGTTTGCAATCGTCGGGAATCCTAGCCCTCAAGCTGCACTTTCGATAGTACTTCCTAATTACCAAAGCCCACAAGCCCTGATTGTCCTCCGAGTTGTGCGTGAAATTCCTGGGCATTGCATTTGCTGGCATCTGAAGGGCTACATACAGACTTTCCCACACTTGTTCCTTCCATGGGCACAAAATTTGGTGCACCCCAGAAAGGCACGGTATCAGCCTCTGGAGAAAAATTAATGTCTCTAGAGCTGCATGTTTGGATTTTCGGAAGGAAATTGAAGGCTGACAGAGCGTTAGGCCTATCAGATATCTCTATGAAACTCTTGGAAGCCTTTGAGGGGTAAGTCATGAGTGAAACTGGTCGTGGCTGCTTGCCTCATGGGAAAAGCGATGTCCAAGTAGCACACGTAGCCCAGGTTTCCGCTGCTCTTCTCCATGCTCTCCATAGTTTTGCGAAATTACCCAACGTTCGAAGTCCTTGAAGTGTTCCAAGCGCTTAACCTCTGAGCACCTTCCCTTGGCAACAAACTAACTCCCAAGCCAACTCGCCTATTCTTCGACATGTCCAAACGAAATCGGTTTCGTGAAGGACCCAAACACCAGCACCACCCTGTCAGCAATCATCCTGGAGTCCTGGGGACGTAGAGTCAAAGAAACTATTGTCACGCTTGACGCGTCAGGGTTAGGGAAGGGTAGCTTGAGGACAAGATGTGCAACCAGAAACCAGTTCCGAAGTGCACGATCATAGAAGCCAAGACCCCAAACCAGGATACACTAAACAAGAGAACAATGCAGGCCTGAGACCCTTGTAGAAGCCCTGAGAAGTTAGCTTGATGCCTCAGACCGCGAAACCCTTGGCGAAGCGTGGATCCCAAGCACGAAAGAACAACGCCGCAAGTATACTTTCCCCAAGCAAATATGGAACCCCAGAGGCGCCTACAAGGACTACTGCTCTTTTCTTTATCTTCGCCGAAAGAAAAGAGAGCAGCCAGTTCAGCGCCAAATCCTGAAGGTAGCCAGGTTGCGACTCATAACCCCCCATGCCACGATCAGGTGCTGCTTGTGCCACAAGGCCTTGCATTTGGCGCAAAACGGATGGGAATTCGGGTTTGGAGGGTCGAGGAGTTTGAGTTGGGGGTTGATGGTGTAGGGTTTAATGATAATGATGATAGATGTGCCCCACTTGTCTCCGGTGATTCCCTATCGTTGCCGTCCGCCCACGTGGAGTGCATCCAATCCCAACCCCTACTTGAGGTTCTAAGCCCCTCCCAACTCCACGAGTAGCGTAATAATTATACATGTATATCTATATATATGTATATGTATGTATAAGCTGGGGTATATAATTTTGAACCTACAAGTAGGATTCAGGATTTGGGCCTGCGCTTTGCTTTCTGGTCTTCACTGTCAGGTCAAAGCAGAAATTCGACAACCTTCTTCGGATGGAGGACAAGCATGAAGCAAAGGATCGTGGGAGCTAACTTCGAAAGAGTGCGGAGACTTGAGAGTCCTGGGAAAGGGCATGTTGAAGGACGAATTCAGACTTCCATAGCCCCAAGTCTGAAAGCATCAGCTGGAAGATCACTCACATGATTACCTCATGCGCCGTGAATAGCAATGCTGGAATTCTCCACCACCCTCCCCTCACCTCAACATGCCCACCTCTGCAGCAAAGCGTAAGGCCCCAGCAGTGTTGCGGTTGAGGTGGAAGGATGGATGTGTACTGAAAGCTTAGACATTTAGCAGGTGCCAAACATACAGTGGATTTAGATCTTAGGGCTCAAGATTCAGAGTTTAGGGTTTCGAGATTTTGTGTTGAAGGTTGTTGGGGCTTTACCTTAAGGACCTGTAGATTTGGGGGATTTTCCTGCTGTTTTGCACTGTTGCCTGCTGAAAGCTAGCAACCCTATCTCTCTATAAACGCCAGTTTCCACTTTGAGGCACCCCAAATCTGAGTGGAGATCGCTGTCCCAGGACCGCGAGGCCGATAATCTGCTACAAAGGTAGGCAGAAGAGAGCACACTCAACACCTGAAATCCTATCCAGGCCTCGTTCACCCTAACGAACCCTCAAGGCCCCCAAGGCCCCCAGCTGAGAGTACTCTTAATCTAAATGTCGGGATGCATGCTGCAATTGAGCACATGCCCATAATATCATAACCTTCCCCAGAGCTGCCGAAACGGTCACCACTTTGGTATGATGTACCAAGCAAGCCACGCTCTCGCTCGTCGGGCGCACCCGAAATGCGACCCATGAGACTATCCTTTGCTCTGCAGTCTAGTTAGTCTAGCTCCAGCACCCAGAGCGTCTGTTAGGTTTGGGATTTGAGCTGCGGGTTTAGTGCTATGGGGGTTCAGAATTCAGGGTTGTCCTTTTGTGGTTACAAACCTGGAACCCTGATCTTGGTATACGAATTGAGGGCTTTGATCTGAGCTCGCAGTTGGTAAGGCTTGGGATTGGACACGCCCTTTTGTAGGGAAAGGCCTGCCGGTGCTCAAGGAGTAGCTGGAGGACTGGATTATTATAACAACTCCTGCAAAATTGCCCACAGCAGTACCTATATCTCGACTCCTCCACTCCCCTACCCCTTTAGACTAGCAAGGATGACTGCGAAGCTTAGATTCTTAAAGTCCAAGCCTTGGAGCATCTGGCAATGATGGGGTTTCTTGGAACTGGAGCTGCGAGAACGGCAGGATGCCAGTGATGAGGAATCCCTACACCCCAAGCCCGACAATCTGGATTCATCAGCCCTTATAACTGAAGCCTTAACGGTCTCTTGTACATTCTTGTTTTTTTGTAGGAGCTTTTGCAGTTGATGACGTCTGCTGAAGATTCCCTCGTCTGACTCGAAGCACTGCCTTCCAAGATTGAATCTCTCTTAGCCGTAGCCAGAGCTGAGTGCACATCATAAAATTTCCTTCTACAGTCCCAACTGCAATGATGACCCGTAAAAATGTCCCTCACCACAGAGTGTGAACCATGCAGTCCCTACAGCACGCATAACTTGCCAACTGGAAGCAATGTCAGAGGCTGTGAAGAGGCCTCCGGTCCTGCAATGCTTGAGTTCTCTCGCTGCAGGCTCTGATGGGTTGGGGTCAGTCAAGTTTGCACGGTTTCACTTCACTCAGAGACCGAAGTCTGAAGGGTGCACTCAGGGCTCGGCATCTGACCTTGACGCCAGAAGGCACAAAGCTAAATCTTGACGCCTAACTCATCCAAGTACAACGTAAGCCTCGGACAGCAAATCAACAAGCTTCCTGAAGTAGCTGCAGACTCAGAACCTAGCCCTTAGACCCCAAATGCACACAATTCTACAGGTCATTTTTTCATTTCAACACAACCCCAACCCACTTTCGGCTATTCTTGTGGATATGAACTGCGCCGCCACGAGCCTTGGAATAACCAATGCAACGAGGGAACATCCTAGCGGTCTGACAAATGAGACCCCAAAATCCTCAAATGACCTCATGATGAAATACCTAGGGCTCCTATCTACCAAAATAATAGGCCACTGGGCTATGTAACTATAGGGAATATAGAGCCCACAACCCATTATTTCGGTAACTAGAGCCCTAGGGCGATAAGTGGCCTAGACTCCAAAAGCTCAAGCACTGCACCCTGGCGGCCTGAACCATGCTTTGGTAGTCCCCTTTGCCCTGATGCCCTGAGCTTCACGACCCAAGAACTTCTTGTCTTCCCTTGTAACAATGCTACGGCCCAAAAAACATCAGGCCAACATATTTCAGGGATTCGGTATATGCTTGCCTAGCTGGGACCGGAGGAGCAGACTTAAGGATTCAGGCATGGCATGAAACCAAAGTCCTGAAGCCTTGGCCCTCACACTTTTGCTTGCCGCATCCCCCAAGCAAGCAATCTACGGTGATGATGGTCCTGAATCGTGAAGTCATATAGTTACCAGCTGTCTCCCAAGCTACTTCGGAGCCCAACCCTCCCTCAACGCGATGAGGTTATTCACAATTATCTATTTCATGGTGCCTCAGGGGAGAGGGAATGTAGGGACTAGAAAAAGATTATCATTATCAATCCTGCGGAGCCCCCTCAAGCACCTGTGAGTTCAGGCTGAGTCCTGGGAACTACCGGCTCCGGCTTTGCGGAATGCCAATCAAACTCGGCCGCTGCCGCCGCGGACTCGATGCCCTGGACTTTCGTAGGATCCTATACTAGCACACTCTGCTTGTCCAGCCCCAGCTACGGCAGAATCCGTAATTAGGCTTATCTGGCGGCGGTTCAGGTGGGGGTAGTACATACATTCATGAGACTTGAAGCTTTGCAGGGGCTATCTGGTAAATAGCTGTTCCATATTATCCTACTGCAAAACAAAAATGAATTTAAACGAGTCGCCTCCAATCATAACTCAGCTACAGCAGCTTAGAGAATTTAGCGTCACAGCCATGCAATAATCAGTTGCACAAATGACCCAAATGCTCGAAACTTAGGGGATTAGGTCCAGATCTCTGCCTTTCTGCTCAACTAGGTCAAGTTTGCGCGGCTTCACCTAGAATCACCTAGAAAGCTGCTTTCAAGCTCCATCCATAGCTTCGTGAGCTGCTTAGACCTGCTGCTGCGTTGCCTGTTCTGGTGTCCCTCGGCGTCGGAGCCTCTATACGATGGGGGAAACAATGTAGAGACAAGGACGGAGCTGCTTTTTCAGGGGTGAAGTCTAGCTTCGGGTGAGAATACTTCAGCATTCAACAAAAGACTCTTCAGCTTGCCAGCTGCATAAAATTCACCCCCTCCACCCCTTCACGAGTCAGCCAAACAGGACAATTTCTGGGACAGCAAGGCGCTTCGACTCTGCTCCGTGCTCACCGCCCACCAAGTTTGGGTTCTAAACCTCGCGCACTATCTTTTCACACGTTATGTTTGGACCATCTTAAGAGGTGTCCTTCTACCATCCCTAGAAAGCCACCTCGGCATTCATTTCCACGGCAGGTGGCGGCACAGCTTCTGAGATACTGGGACCTGCTCAAGCGATTGGTGGAGTCAGAAGAGGGGTCTATAGGGATGCTACGCTCCGGGAGTTGTGCAGGGAGTGTAGTGTACACCTTACAGGCGTGAGGAATTCAGCACTTGTGTTTGGGCCTATACACCCGCAGTCTGTTATGCATGAACTTAACAAGTTCTTCGACGCGCTTGAGGTTCGGGTCTCAAACGTTCAAAAAAGCAAGAGCATAAGTTTCAGCTTTGGCGCGTCAAGCTGGCCCCTGCTTGCGGTTCACAAGTTACAGACTCCACCATATTGTGGATATGTTGCGGCCTTAGTTCTCTTGACCCATCTTCGTACTTGCTTAAAGCAGGAGCAACATCTACCAAATGATCCGCAGACCCCATCTAGGTCAATCTACGTAGTCATCAAGGTCCCCTCTAACCTCTGCGGCAGCTCCAACTTAGACTCCTCCATGCCATTGCATGCCCCCGATTCATGGCAGCGAGCTTTGTCGGCTCTGTGTGGGCTTATATGTATCACTAACGCTTTCTTCAGGCTAGCGGCGAATGCTTACTTAACATTGCTTTCAGGCACCCCAGAGCACTAACTCCCCATTTTGATGTAATTGCATAGGTTGGCACACTGACATTCTCCAACTGGGCCGGAGCTACGCTGGATCTCGACATGTGCTGGAGGTTCAGCGGTAGCCATGGCCCATTTACTCATGGCCCAGCTGCACGGTCCTATTCTTGTTTGTGCCTTTGCTGCCTGAGTGGGCCTTCCTTTCACAATTCTGACGCAGCTCTGGAAAATTGAAATGCGAGGAACATGTTCGTAAACTCGATTTTCTGTGTTGAGCTCAAGAACTCACTGGGCAAGTCTGGCTGTATGTCAGCCCAAGAAGGAAATTAAGAACCTTTCTGCTTAGTCGCTTGCCCGTGGTCCCTCTGCAGCGCTTGTTACAATACAACTCAACTATGCGTGAAACTGAGCCCAATACCCTGTTGGCCAAGCCCGCTTCTCCCACATGTTAGCCTTCGAAATACCTTAAACACCAGCTCACCTCAGATCTCATACCAGAACTATGTTATGACCAGGTTATTACTGTATCGCTGTTATCATATTACCATAATTTACTATATTACTACATAATAAGAAAAAAAAAAGAAAGGCTCTTTCGTCCGCGGCCTCTATCTACGGCGACCTCGCTGCTCTCGGGCTCGGGCGCAGGGAGGCAAGGTGCCTGTGCTTGCTTCAAGGTGTCTCAGCCATTCCCGGTTATTTTGGTGGGTTGGATGGCAAGGGAGGGGTTGGTGTAGCCCTTTGAGGAAGGCAGAGCGCGAAGAAACAACGATGTACTCCCACCACTGCTATCAACGAAGCTGCGGCGCACTCTTTTGTAAGCAGCGCTGCAAAGAAAGAGGTTAGACCTTGTAAGCACTGTCCACCCAAGACGGTCCAGCCCAAGCGCTCTCAACGTGTGAGCAGCCTGTCAATTCTGGAGCTTTTCGTTTCTAACCGCGCACTGAGCCTCGAAAGCAAGAACTCTTCATACTGTCTCCAACAAATTCTTCAAACATGCTCGGATATGTGGGGGCTTTCGACAGGGGTGATTTCAAGACTGGCCACGGCACCACTCAACATCATGCCAAGTCTACCTAGCCTACCGGCTGACTGGTTTCAAGCTTAACACTCAGGAGCTAGGACAAGAATGAGGCACCTGCAATGGGAGGTGCAGATGTAGCTGCGCAAGCTGAACTGCACACATATATGGAAGTGTCTCAACGCGATGGGCCAAACCGACGTTGCTTATAGAAGGTATGCACCTAGAAGGGCAATCAGCTTCAACAAAATGACACCCGCATGCAAGGAACAGAGTATGGACAATCAACGAAGATTGACTTACATGTCCACAGACACCAGCCCCAGCCAGTCCTTCTGTATTTAGGCAAACTTAAAGGCCTCAGCCCCATCCTGACAATCCCAGCCCAATGCCATCAGAACCAGAATATGGGAACCTCTTGGCAGTTGGCTCACCCGCCTCAGGCGTAGCCGGGTCCACAAACCCAGCAGGCGAGGGCGGCGCCGTACTGTCGCGAGTAGGGGCGTTCAAACCCTTCTGTTAAGAACCTTCTTGGGGGGGCCGTAGACTTCGTCCACCTCGCACTCCTGACCCCAAAGCAGCCATAGGACCTGAACTCCAAATCTGATTCCTCAAAGAATCAGGCAGCCAAGCAATGGAATCCAAACAGGATTACAGTTCATTTAAGGCTTCTTCGCGCAGAGAGAGAGAGAGAGAGAGAGAGAGAGAGAGAGCAACAGCATGAGAGCCCTGACACACATGTGATTCAACCACTTCCCGGAACTGGGCTAATAGGCCTTCCAGCCTCGTGATCCTTGCCAAAAAGCTAGGCCAACTTGCAGCTTTTGTTAACTTTCTGTGCGGGCGCGGGATCTTTTGCCAGGACATGGCTCTGCCAACAAGAGTTATCAGGAAAACTATAGCAAATCCATGTTCTAGCGGATGCCAGCGTCGGGAACCTACCGCACCGCTCTCACTGGAAAATCGTGAAATCCATGCAGAGGCAACATGCAACTTCAAGCCGTAGAAGCTGTTTACCCGTAACGCCAAGAGTCTGAGACTGAGCAAGAGCCTTGTCCATAGCCTCATCAGATGAATAGGAAACCCATCAGGGAACCCAGAGTCATGTTGACGGGAAGTGCAGCATGCAGGGTTGTTGTTGCGAAGTTGTTGAACCAAGAACTGCACGGCGCAAGTCCTGGTATCAAGACCTGCCGGAGCGACTCCCCTGAGGAAAGCGGACGATAAGGTGTGACCTCAAGCCAACAAGCAAAAGAGTTCTGTTCGCATCAGTTTTTTTATAGTCAGAGTTCCGAGAAACAGGTTTCCTGCGCGATAGCGCTCCCCCTCAAAGCAATTGATTCAAGACATGCATGGGTGTTCAGCAGGTTAAGCTCCGGGTTCCGGGGCAAAGTGCCAAATAGCGTGTACAACTGTATTCATTCCTGGGACTAGGCAGGCTAAATGTGTCTCCGGGTTCCCCCCTGACAAACACTCTTCAAAGTGTCCGATCTCAAGTCGCATCCACTTGTAACTCCGCAAAGAGCTGAAGTGCTACATACATTGATGAGACTGAAGGAAAGATGATTTCTTTTGAGATTCGTTTTGCTGCACCTTCCTCTAACTGTAAGGAGACAATCTCTTTCCGGGCATTCCCAACGGGCTACATTTTGAAACCCAAGTGAACCTGTGCTCAGCGAGAAACCCCCACGATGCTGAAACTCATGCAACCATATCACTGTGGCCGTGAAATCATCAACACAATGCTCCGAAGGATCATCCATGAAACGTGGTGCGAAGGATACCTGTTGCAATTTTCCCGTGCGCCAGCTGAAGCACAAACACTGATGGTCCACAATACCTCACCCACTGAACTTCAATCCTGCAGCTCAATCTGTAAACTCTGAAGCCTGCACCCCCACACTGAACCACAAGCCTTGACACATGCAGGTTCTGAGTGTAGCCATCCTCTTACGAACCCCAAGGACAACCAAGATCTTCCCAGCAATCTGCAAGGGGAGCCTTGGGAGGCGTCTTGGGGCGTTTCAGCTTTGGCCTTTCTCGCGCAGCTCGCTGAGTAAGCTGCTCCTGAGATGACTGGTTTAACTTACTGGGGGTTGGCAGGGAATAAGGGTATATATAAAGATAAATAAATAAATAGATGTATATAATATATATATATATATCAGGGTTTAGGGTTTGAGGTCTAGGGTTTATGGTTTTAACGCACGTTGGTTCGAAAAAACAAACCCTGTTTATTGTAGAGCATTACTACTGTTACTAATATTGCTATTAGTATCATTTTTTGTTTACTGATGATCTACCCCTGGTCTAGTACCTGGCTATCTTACCCAATGCTCTTCCAAAGCCATGACCTGCCCTTCTGGCAATTGATGGTGTGCCAGCGTTTACATGACGTAGCAGTATGGTGGCAAAACGACAGCCAATACTACTACTACTACTACTACTAGTAGTACTACTACTACTACTACTACTACTAGGTAACGGTCGCGTTTATGACGGCGTCATTTTCTCCACTTCGCCCTACTGAAACTGAGGTTTC